CTTGAAAGATGTTAATGATGTATTATTGCAGAACTTTGATATAAAGTAAAAAAAATACTGAGCTTGAAAAAGTACAATATTGTTATCACTTAAAACTAAGTTTATTTTGTGAAGGAAAACAGATTTTGAATGACTCACTGACGAAGTGCTCTGAAGCCTGCACACACCTTCAATGCAATCTGATGCAAAATGTCATGATGAATCTAAGATCCAGGGTATTATCAGGGTGTATTACCTGCATCTAATGACCCATGCTCCAAGAAATCAAGGTGACAGCCAAAAAGTAGAACTGTTTTGTTATATCCTGCATTTATTTAAGCGAACCAAATGTGTAGAGATAGGAAATTAATGCGTTCATAATGTTTTACAAATACAGAAAGAAGACACAGAATATTAATACCCTGAAGACAGTCCATTTAAGACACAGCTCTGTCATTGGAGAACACTTGCAGTGACCACATTGGAGCCATGGCGGATGCGTCCATCTGTCATTCTTGCTCTGACATCGTTCAAGGAGTTTTAAAAAATAAATCAGTGATTTGCTTTCAGCCTTGAAGGGTCTGTGAGTGATTATACTATACATACATGATGCTAGGCTTAATGTGTTATTTCTATGCCATTGTACATTATGCAGGGGGAAATAATGTCTTATTACACATTTATTGTGACATCCACTAAAATGTGAACTAGTTTGCATAGGTTAGTCCTTTGGGCAGCACGATGTTGCTCTAGTCCACCAAGGCTTAAAGATTCACAGTGTAGAGGAAAAAAAACATGAATTAAAGCATTTCTACTAAAATATATTTTAATAGCTGGTGTTAACACTTTGCATAATAAAAGCCAAATTATATGGATAACATTATATCCTTCTGTAAACCTCTTCATTTGAAAAACGTTAAGTGTTTCCTTCAAAACTGTATGCTCTCAAAGTTAGTACAGTCTTGGAAAAGAATAATAAACCAAAATTCTACATAGTTTGAAGCAAATGTAAGCTAAACTGCACAACGGTTCATGTTTGCATTTTTGTCACAGGTCGAACCCCAACAATTGCAGATCACACCCATAACACACTAGGCATTTCCCTGTCACTCAGTCACCTGTTGCATGGGCAATGAGAACAGGACTGTGATTTCTCCTTTCCTCTAAAATAAATCATTCTTAACAGCAACTGGATTACAAAGAAGTATATACTATGCAAACTGGATGCCATGTATCAAACACATGAAGCATATGGAACTCCCATGAATATACTGAACTAAGGTGGACAATCTGGGAGGAAATTTGCCCTGGGGATTCTTCCAGGCTTGCAGATTCCATAGTCTAAGTAAGCATTCTGGAATGATGGTCACAGAAACATCAGATAGTGTCTTGACTTTTTAGATCATTGAGAGTTGACAAGTCACCTGGAAAGAGTCCTAAAGGGCATGGAATACTGCACAGCGAGACTTGTATTTTAGCATTCTTAACTTACTTGACATAGCTTCTTACTTTACTAAAGCTTTTTCACCTTCATGTCACATTCCCCAAAACAATCACAATCCAGCCACTTTTAGATTATCAGCAGCAAATAACTAAGATAGAATGAACTTATGAAGTGAATTTCATTTTGTATAGTAAATTCAGCCTCGTAATGTAATTTTTCTGTCTATCTTACAATAGGTTTTTTAAATCCCAAACCAAAAGTTAGTATTTGTGTATCTCAACTATATATAAATCCACAAAGAACCTTTCAGAAACAGATAAAAGAAGTCAGTATTTTCTAAAGTTCTAAACCCTTATAAGTAAAATACAATCAGCTACCACCCTTAATATCTGTCAGGAGCATCCGACCTCCCCACCATAAAAATACCAAACATATATAATAAAATATTACTATAGAATGGGCATAAGCTTACTTGCTTGGATTTCTTTCCAAGGCTGTAATGGATAAATAAGGGTAATCAAAAAGGCACCTATTTTTGTATATATCTATATAATAATTTTGGTATAAATTACATCCACTTTATATAGAGATGTGTTAGTAGAGAATCATACACATTTTCTTGGTCTTTTCATTAAAAATATCCCATTGGTGATGGATGGATGGACCTAAAAATGAGGTGCATCTCTTGACCTTCACTATTCTGTTTAGAAAAGTCTTCTTCCCAATTCCCAGAATGCTGTAAGGCTCAACACAGAGAGGACAAGGAAAGAAAGACTACGGTAAAACTGGCAAAACTTTGTCTTCATCATCTTCTAGCAGGTCTTTCAATAAAACTAATGGCAAGAAAGGGGCAGGTCTAACCTCATTCTTCTTCATACAATGTATACTTGTAGAAATTGTGCTTACAAATTTCTGTGTGGTCTATGGAGGTCAGGGAGGCCTGAGAAGCAGGGCCTCCACTGAGAACAGACAACCAGATAAATATTTCAAACTTGGCTACACTGCGGATGTGTACACGAGAACAAGAAGACATGAAGAATTCATTTTGCCATAGGTCAAAAATAGAAAGCTTTTCTAGAGAACAAGAATTAGTAAAAACATTGACTACAAAAACTTACAACAAAAGCAATGTTCTGTTGCTATACTTTTCTCAAGAAAGATAAGATCCACATACAGTTTTGTTTTCAGAAGCTTTTAAAAGTGTATCAAACTGTTCCTTGTGCTTTTATCAGGCTTTAGGACATACCAAATTTAGAAAAGCAGGTACATGCTCTCTGTGCTTAGGCATTTACACAGTCTTCTTTAACTCCATTTTCAAGACTGTTTTTTTTTTTTAACTCTTCTTTAGCCATTAGCATTATATACATATAAGATATCTGTTGCCAAACAAAAGATGGGGAGGGAGCACGTGGAAAGTGGAAAAGTTGTTCAAAATGTTGTTTTTAAAAATGAAGTTGTAAAAATAGCACTTTGGTAATATACATATATGTTTCCTATATTTCTTCTGAGATGCTTAATATCCCAACAAGCTTTAGTAACAATGCCAACCCTATTGAGTTATAACCTCAAGAGCATATGATGTCTTGTTCTGCCTCAAACTTTATTTACAAAATTGCCCTCTAGTTAAATTCTGATCAGATTTTAATTCTTAAAGGCTGGAAACAGAAACATCTTACTTTGCAAACAGCATGTGAAGCTTAAAATTTTAGGAGAATTATTCCCCAAATATGTTTTGACTTTTACGTTCAATGAATATGATTTTGAAATCAGCAGATGAGAAGAAATATGAGACATTAGGCTGCTACTTTATGGTAACTTTCCTGATTATTATCATCATTTCAAGTCAGTTTCCTTTGAGCTTCTGATAAATGTACTATTTATCAAAAATTGTACCTGTCCAACATTTAGTCTGAAAATTTAATCAACAACTACTCTTCTTTGTAATTGCAAAAAAAATAGGTGAAACTTAAATATTTATTTAACAATATAATAAAATTGATAGGCTTCTTGCCCTCAATTTTAATGGACAGAAATTTCTGCAAGAATATTGCAAGTTCAGTTTGTCTTCTTAGGTCTGTGTACAAGACATCCAAACAGATATGGGATTTGTTCAATTTAATCATGACCAGTCATTTCAGTGATAGAAAATCAGTCAAGATGGTTGACTATTTGGTAATCAGTAAAACCCCCTCAATATAATCTCTAGTTATTTGACTGAATTTTTCTCTTTTCAATTTTATGTCACTGTCATGTAGATACAGCTTAAGTCTAAAAAAGCTTATTTGCTCTTTTCATCTAATTTATTACCAAAGGGGTAAACAAATCAACCTTTCCCCTTGGCCTAATAAAACATTTCAACAAGTGGTATTTTATAGGATGTTTGTTCATTTCCTTGAATATATTATATAAGGTTGATATCCCCCAAGGCCCATATATTTTATTACATTTTTGTAACTTTGCTTTTTCTGTTTCATCACAACTATAGTGTCAGGACCTAAATGAAGGCTACCCTGTTGCAGGTCTCAATAAACGGCACACTCTGAAAGATACAGAGGAGGTAACAAATGTCAGTGTATCAGGCAACCTTGACTTCAGGCTCCAGGTAAAACTTAAAAGACCTACCATCAAGGGTTGCCCTCATGGCTGTGAATCCAGCAAGAGCATGCAAGGTCCCTTGTTTGAAAATCAAGAACTTGACAACAATTTCTTTCCTAGTGAGTGACCTGTTGGACTTATACTGAAAATCTCTGATAACATTCCTATCTCATTCTCTGAATTTGATTTAGAAAATAAAAACCAGAAAGTGGAAAGGAAGTCCACTTACCAGTCCAATTAACCGGTTTCAGTGGCTAGACTTCCATTCCAAAATCTGAATGCCATTTTCCAAAATAAGAAACCAGATCGTCTTTCTCTATGTGGAGTTTGTAACTTTTTGTTAGCTGGGTTTTTCCAGCATACTTCATATTCCATCTTTTCACTGGCTCCTGTTAAGTTTTGTTTACTTTTAAATAAACAACAGCATTAAGTTAATGAAAGCTGTCTAATAAACACCTAAATCCCTTATTTAGTAGAGTATACATCTATTTCCTAAGGTCTAAATCCTTCAAAACTAGAGCGCAATGCAGCAGGAGAATCTCAAGTGACTTTTCAAAATGTTTTGTTTTGTTTGTTTTCTGATAAGCTGGCAACTAGAGGAAACGGCTTTTAGATATCAGCTACACTTTTTTTTTTTTTTTTGCTTTAATAACAGGAATGGGCAGTGCAGCTGCCCATGTTACAGAAGCTTGAACCTACATGACATGCAACAGGGTAAAGGCTATTAGGGAAATTATATAGATGACATCAAAATTTGCCCTTTGCAGAGTAGCTGTGAAGTTATTTGGTCCTGACATTCTGTGGACTCAAGCATATACCTGGGTTCACAGAATGTACATGGAGAGTAGGGTATGACTTGGTACAAATGAGAAATAAACAGACCCACGTGGACCTAGGGAAGAAGGGAATTTCTTTGAGTAGAAGTTTCTAGGTCCCTAAGGCCACCAGTCAATATAATTTTAACCAGACTGTCATTCTGCCTCTGCTTACATTTATTATATTAGACAATTTCCATTTATATTAGGAAATTTTCTAATGACTAAAAAGCTGAACAGTTTTTTAAGTATCGGCTGCATTACTGAATTAAGGAAACTGGCGTCTGGTGATTCCATTTCATACACTTGTTACATTTAAGGGACAATCAACATCTCCATTAAAGTCTACAAAAATACATTTCCCAGAAGAGTTCAATAGCCAGTCAAAGGAAACCATTAACACAATTAGCAGCACCAGGTCTCCAGATGTAATTATTGTGTTTGTAGGAATTACTGAAAATGCTGCCGTTTTTCAGCCCAGAACTCATTCCTTCTTCCTGGTACCTGTGTGTCTAATTGTCAAAGTAAGGACAGATCATTGTAAAATAACTACCAAATTATCTTAAAAGTATCTTCTATCTTTTAAAAAGATTAGGTTTAGAATACATTAGAATAAAGCTCAAAGGGCAAGGAGAAATAATTAATTAACAAACTCAATGTAATTCGCTGGGAGCATCCCCGTTTTCCCAGTTCTCTGCACCGTGCCGTACATCCAGCCGTCATCGATGGGCTGCACGTTGACAATGTAGTCACCGTCCCTGAAGGAGACTTCATCTTCATCCTGGGCACTATAATCGTACATGGCTCGGTATGTCCTCTGAGGAAAGAAAGGGTTATATGGTTAATATCATACTGGTTAATCAGTGTCCAGTTGCCACTGAGTCTACTTCAGCTCATGGCAACCCCATGTGTGTCAGAGTAGAACTGTGTTCCATAGAGTTTTCAATGGCTGATGTTTTCAGAAGTAGATTGCCAGGCCTTTCTTCTGAGGCACCTCTGGGTGGACTCCAACCTCCAACCTTTCAGTTACCAGTCAAGCACATTAACTGTCTGCACCACCCAGGGACTCCACCAAACTAGTTATAACCTCAAATTCCAGTGACAAGAAAACAACCTACAAGTAAAGTACCTACTAGGAATGTTTTCAAGCACATCTATTTCTGGAGGTCCGTAAACCAGTATCTAATTTTGCTGATCTCAAATTTACAAGTCTAGCAAAAAGCATATTTTAGGGCCAGAACCTGTCCCTTTGCCGTCAAAGTTGATTCCAACTCCATTCAGCTTTAGACAACTCTGGAACCATTCAATTACATAGATTCTCCCTTATTCCACACTCTTCAGAAAATAAAACCTACTGCAGTGGCAGACAGGTCCAAGTCCTGTTGGCTCTCTGCCACTGGCAGAGACAATGAACTCTTCTTAAATAGGTACCAAGAATTTTTATTTCCTCATAAAAACATGTAAAACAAAGAGAAAAAATCCATACATACTCATTTTACAGGCTTTTCTAACACAGTGATAGAAATTTACCATATAAATGTTCTGAATACTGAGGTACATATAACTAAACTCTTGTTAGAATAAGGAAATTTTAAACTGAGTTTTATTATATTTGTCTTAGCCTGAAGCCAAGAGTTTAGCTAGTATTAACATTCGATGATCCCAAAATTAAGGGCTTTCACAGACCAAGGAAACTGGTTGAGACACAGAGGACTTTAGAGCGATTAAAGTTACCGTACAAACTGCTTAGAGGAGTCACCTATGTACAGAAAAAAGCCAAATGACTGTGTCAGGGAGCTTACAGGAGCAATTTTGGTGTGAAATGCCAAGTTTGACTAGATGACCTTTACCGCTGCTCCTAAACTTTGCATTCAATCCATCAGCACTGTAAGATTTGCAGTAGGGGGATTTGAAGGCAAAAAAAAAAAACAAAACACATTTTGGTTGTCTTCAAGGTTTTTTTGATTAACATCAAGATTACCTAGTTAACATGACCATCAAAGATTTTTGCACTTTAGGACTGAATAAAGATCATAATTGGCTAATAATACCAATCAAGAAGTACCAATTAGGATATCTATTCTGGTAGATACTTTTATTTTTATTTTTTTATCATTTTATGATTTCACATAATGTTTACTACTGCCTTCATTTCTCAATAGTTTAAGTTTTTTTGCTTTCTTTGAAAGAGTTGTATAAATAGCAACACATCATCATTTATCTCTATTCCATGTACAGATTTTTTTTTCTTTTTTTATTGTACTTTAGATGAAGGTTTACAGAACTAGCTTCTCATTAAACAGCACACATATTGTTTTATGACATTGTTTAACAACCCCATGACATGTCAACACTCTCCCTTCTCAAACTTGGGTTCCCTATTACCAGCTTTCCTGTCTCCTCCTGCCTTCAAGTCTTTGCCCTTGGACTGGTGTGTCCCTTTAGTCTCATTTTGTTTTATGGGCCTGTCTAATCTTTGGCTGAAGGGTGAACCTCAGGAGTGATTTCATTACTGAGCTAAAAGAGTGTCCGGGGGCCATACTCTCGGGGTTTCTCCAGTCTCTGTCAGGCTAGTAAGTCTGGTCTTTTTTTTTTGTGAGTTAGAATTTTGTTCTAAATTTTTCTCCAGCTCTGTCCGGGACCCTCTACTGTGATCCCTGTCAGAGCAGTCAATGGTGGTAGCCAGGCACCATCTAGTTGTACTGGACTCAGTCTGGTGGAGGCTGTGGTAGTTGTGGTCCATTAGTCCTTTGGACTAATCTTTCCCTTGTATCTTTAGTTTTCATCATTCTCCCTTGCTCCCGAAGGGGTGAGAACAGTGGAATATCTTAGATGGCCACTCACAGGCTTTTAAGATCCCAGATGCTACTCACCAAAGTAGAATGTAGAACATTTTCTTTATAAAGTATGTTATGCCAATTGAGCTAGATGTTCCCCGAGACCATGGTCCCCACTGCCCTCAGCCCAGCAATTCGGTCCCTCCGGGAGTTTGGATGTCTCTATGGAGCGTCCATGACCTTGCCTTGTACAAATTGTGCTGGCTTCCCCAGTATTGTGTCATGTACAGATTTTTTTAGGTGAAATGAGAAGATCAGATAAGAAAGGCTTTAGATTGACACTTACTAGATTTGGTGAATGCTGCATTGACCTCATGGACGACATACTGGTCTGGTGCATGTACCCATAGCCTTGAGAATGGCTTTGTTGATAGGCTCCAGGAAGAACAGGGGCTGTATATTAAACATAAACACACACAAGGACTCCTTAAAGTGAGTCTCAAAATTCCCCTCCCCAAGCCCTCAAGTGATTTCATGCTCTCCCAGATGCTCTGAAAAAAAATGTCATCATCAGTGTCATGTGTAATTTGGGTAGTGGTTTTGTAAGAACTCCCTACATTAGTATAAATTTCAGTAGTTAAAGATATATAGGCAATCAGTCTAGCATGCAGATAAAAATAGATTTTAATGTTTTTATTTACTCTATTACAGATGTTATATCAAAACAACATAAATACAAAATTTCCCATAAAACCTTAACAAAACCATGTTTTCATTTAAACATGTGATGCTTCTACACATTTTCCAAAATAAAAAAAATTTAAAGGGATTTAGTTGGATTGCCAAATCAATGACAGAGTATGAATATTTTCATGGGGTACTTCTCATATACTGGAATACTTTTAATATTTTGAGACATACAGCTGATGGTACCTTTACAAAGATGGTAAACACAACACACGCTTAGCAACATATGTTTCTTTAGCAATTAATTAAAAAGAACTCTATACCCTGAAAAAAAAATTTATTTGGAAAACCTGAATTCCCTATTTTGACTATAAGTCAAACCTAAAGTGTAATGAATATGTTACAAAATCCTGAGAAACCAAACCACTTAAAGAATTTCATACATTATTACCCCTCTACATTAAAAAAAAAAAATAGTATTCATTAAGCCTGTGCTATTCTTACCACTAATTATGACATTGCTGCTGTTTTGAAGAACATTCCATTCTAGAGAAATCAACATGAAAGCTCAATAAAAACACCACAAAATCATAGCATGCCCTTCTAATGTTTTGAATGATTATGTATTAGTATAACTCGTATGATATATGTACTATAAAAATCCATAATAGGCTGCCATTTTTGTTCAATAGGTTAGTATATAATTATAATGGGTCGATTTACTCAGGACAGTTTTTTTAATAAAATGAATAAGTATGTAATGCCTGGGTGTTATAAATAATTAATATTTTATAAGTGGCACATTCATTCTAATGACATATGAGAATATCAATACTTTAAAGAAGTTTAATTATGACAAAATTACAAATCATTAATATGTTCTCCAGATGATGATGATATTAAGTTAAATGGGATTTTTTTTTTTTAGCTCTTGAGTTAATTTATATTACAATGTTGTTAGAAACTGTGTTTATTTAATGGCCAGATATGGCAGCAAAGAGAAACTACCAAGATCTTCACTTGGGTTGTAGTTTATTATAAAGTTATTAAAATATCAGTAAACATCAAATATTTCAGAAAATAGCACTTCTTAACATTATCAACTCAATTTAGATATTTAATGTCAAGTGATATCAAGGATATTGTCAAAATCCACTCACAAAGAAGAAATGAAATTCCCGTAAGTATCTAGGTCCACTTAATGAGCTGCATAAAAGGGGCTTTTCTATGTTTGGAAGTGGGAAACACTGATCATTCATTTACACACTCCCAACTTTCAGCAAATATTAAGTGAGTTAATGTGTGCAAAGTGCATATTACATTGTCTGGAACACGACTGTTGTTGCTGTTGTTGGCTGTCACTGATTCCAAACTCATCGTGACCCCATGTGTTTCAGAACAGAACTGTGCTCCATAGGGTTTTCAATGGCTATAACTTTATGGAAGTAGATAGCCAGGCCTTTCTTCCACAGTCCCACTGGGTGGATTCAAACCATCAACTTTTCAGTTAGCAGTTGAGCACAAACTGTTTGTACTACCCAGGGACCTATACTCTATGGTAGGCCTCCATAAATGTTAACAATAATTATCACAGCCTACTATGTTCATGGCATTGTGACAAGTACTAGAGGAATGACAACAGCACCTGCCCTCTCAGAGTAGTTATGGCCCTGGGGACCTGCCCCTTTGTCCCATGAAGGATACTACACACATTTTCAATTTACGGTATTTTTACCTTCTACGTTTGTTTGCCAATTGCTCCCTCCCCCTGCAAGATATTTTTGTAAGCACGCTACACTAACTTTTATCTACAGCAACATGTAAACAGGTAAGTTCTCGACTCCAACTGTATGGCCCAGATTGGTAGTCCTGAGCTGATTTTTAACCACTTAAATGAATTATTTTTTAATTATTATTTGACTCTATTTGTAAATTCTAAAGATTAAATACAGACATCCCTATAAATTTACTTGATATAAAAAAATTAAACTTTTAATCCTTTGCTACACTATTTAACTATAAACTTTAAATTTTTAACTATAGAGTTATGCTCCACCATCTTAAAGTACACTGAAAAAAAATTATCAGGAAAGAAGGAGTTTTAAAAACAATAAAAAAATTTAAATGTGCTATCTCATACTTAGTAATATGTTTATTTTCACATAGTCTGTATATCATATCCTAGTTTAGTGCCCATAAATACTGACAATGCAAGAATGATGTTTAACAATGTTCTCTAATTTGGGCTTTCAAAAAACAGGTACATTCATGTCATTTAATTGCTCAAATCTGACCTTCAAAGGAACCTGTGGCTACTGTCACTACTGCAAGAAAAGAAATTAATGTGTTAGTCTTAAGTACATTTGGGCTGGAGAGAGTTTAGAATGCAAAACCTTGGAGTAACTATAATCCATTTAGCCCTTATGGTTTCTCTTCATAACTTTATCGATTATTCCCATTTTCCTCTCTGCCTGCATTACTTAACAAAAAAGTCCCTTTGGGGTTACACAATCTTGTTATCTACCTTGGTATTACCTAGTGCAATAAAAGAATTTTTAGGAAGCTCCCTATTATGGCTACGAAAAACGTAACTAAGAACCCAGAGTAATCATCTTAGTAAAAAACAATGGCAATTTAAAAAGAAGCATGTTGCTTTTCTGTGGTTATGCTACATAAATTTATTTTTTTTTAATTAAACACGGGTAAAATAAGAAAAGTGAAATTTAAAGCAATGGCTTTGGAAATTTGGTTTACTAATACTGTGGGTAAAACTTAACTATCCCATGTGAATGTAATATTTCTTCCATGAAAATATATTCAAAAGCTTTTGCAAAATCCAAGTGTTATGCTAATTTTGCAACAAACAAGGACTTTTTATCCAAGACAAAAACACAGTGTCCTCTTTATTAAACTAGTGGTCAGATTCCACTACCATTGGTACAAATGGATGACGATAAAGGTGCAATGGTCTTCCAACACAAGGATCTTAAGTTCCAGGGTTTTGGTTTCAATAACAAACCCCACAGAACAATAGATCTCCTTAACTTAAGACAACAGCAAAACAAGAGAAGTCTGACTCAACTTTCATTTCACATTGGAAAGATTTATTGACCAGAGATCTGGAAGCTGACTAATGCCTTAAGGATTTCAGGCTCTGCTTGGAATGCTCCATAGTAATTATAAAACCAAAATATCTCTTCTACTGCACAATGAAGTATTTCCATAAACAGCCTATACAATATTTTCTATTTAATGTTTATTCTTAAAGTGGTAGGAGAGAAAACCAAGATGAAGTAGACATGAAGATCATAAAATAGAAGATGGAAATGGAGGAAGAAAAAATTTAGAGGGGGTTTAACAAATCTGAAACTGCAAAAAATGAGGAAATACATGTAAACATATAAGGATAGATTAACTGTCCAGATGAACCAAAGAAATACACCTACTATAAAGGGAGAAAACTACCCAAAAGGAAGTCCACTTTGGGGGACAGGTTGGGTGAAAGAAGAGAACCAGTATTATTTAAGTGTCCTCTATGTGTCTTGATGGCGCAGTGGTTAAGAGCTACATCCGCTAACCAAAAGGTCAGCAGTTCAAATCCACCAGCCGCTCCTTGGAAACCCTATGGGGCAGTTATACTCTGTCCTACATGGTTTCTGAGTCAGAATGCACCAAATAGCAATGGGTTTTGTCTATGTGCATGGTGCTTTATGTGTTGTCATTTAATTATCAGAACACCTAAGATAGGTATCATTCCAATTTTACAGAATAAAAAAACAGAGGGTAAGAGATGAGGCAGGAGAGCAGCAGAACAGATTATCAGATCATTAAAGACAAGGTGGAGGTTTTGAAAGTCCCATGACGATTACAGAGTAACGGCAAAAATTACAGTTGCCGTTGAGCCAATTCCAACTCATAGTGACCCCATATGTCTCAGAGTAGAACTGTGCTCCATAGGGTTTTCAGTGGCTCATTTTTCAGAAGTAGATCACCAGGTCTTTCTTCAGAGGTATCTCTGGGTGGACTCAAACCTCCAACCTTTTGGTTAGCAGTCTAGCACACTAACCTTTTGCACCATCAAGAATAACGGCAGATGACCAGATTCTGAATTCCAAAAGAAAAACAGTACTTTATTGAGTAATTATAGAGATATCATGAAGAAAGAAGATGATTTTGGGTTTTTTGTCAAAGGCTTGCTTTTAAAAAAACCCAGCATATGGAGAAAATTACCCTTCAGAAACTTTTCATTAAGGGAACACGATGCACAGGCGAGGCCAAGATGGCTGGGTAGTCAGATGCTTCTGGCGGTCCCTCTTACAACAAAGACCAGAAAAAACAAGTGAATTGATTTTATATGACAATCTAGAAGCCCTGAACATCAAAGGCAAAGTTGAGGAATCAGACCGAGTGGCAGGGGGAGGGAGAGATGGTTCGGAAGCAGCGAGGAGTTGCCAGACCTGACAGGGTGGGAGCCAGAGCCCCTCAGGCTGGATCAGCTCATGTGCACGGTGAGGCAATCAGTGGCGCTTGGGAAGCGTTTTCCACATCGGAAGAGACCCAGCAGCAGAGAGTCTACTTGGCTATCCAGAACCAGCGAGAAGAAGCCCTTGATCGGCGAAAGATAAGCACTTGTGTCTGGCCTACCACACGGATCAAAAACGCATCCCTCTGGGAAAAGCCTCTCTCCCATTTACCTCCCCACTCCTTGCTCTGCACTGGGTCTGGGACAGCTTCAGCGATTGCCAAGTCCCCTGGGCCAGAAGTAG